TAGACGAAAATACCAAAATATCATCAAGATAAATCAGTAACTCACACTGGTTCATGTCCCCGAGACACATCTCCATGACCCTCTGAAAGGTTCTTGGTGCATTTACTAGCCCGAAAGGCATTCTGTGGTATTCGTACAAGCCAAAGGGGACCCGAAACGCAGTTTTATTGACAAAGTCAGGGCCCATCGCCATCCGATGATGTGCAAGATTCAAAGATAAAAAATACTTAGCCCCCCGGAGTGCCTCCAGTGACTCCTCAATTCGAGGCAAAGGAAAGGAGTCACGCACCGTTTTGGCATTCAGCGGCCTGTAATCGACACAAATCCTTAAGGACCCATCGTTCTTTTGTACAAGCACTATAGGGCTCGCATATGGACTACTACTCTTTTGCACAATGCCCTGGTCCAGGAATTTTTCAATTAACTCCCTAACTTCTTTAAGTGGTGTGGAGGGATACGCCGATACAGTTGGTTAATCAGATGGTCATCGGTTGTCCGAAATTTGTGAGGGACTTGGTCACAAAACCCAAGGTCCAGTGGATCTTTTGAAAACACTGAGTCATGTTTCATCAAATGCACTATTTGATCCCGATCCTCTCTGCTCTATTCTATACCCAAGTCAAGACTTAACCCAATGGGTAACTACTCCGAACCATCCTCGAAAATGTACAACTTGCCTTTCGGCAATGACTCCCCATCACTTTTTTCAACATCATGGTCCACAGGTTTGCCTAAATCAGTCTGGGCCAACTCCTGATACCCAAAGATTCACAAAGGATATTACTCACTGAAACATGAATCCCATCTGACCCTTCCTTATGTTCAACATTGGGCCTGGTTGCGATCTTTGTGATGCTGGCAAGTTTAAAGTGTGAGGGTATTTCAAGTACATGGGCTCCCACATTTGCCACCAACACATTGACCACCAACACATGGACCATTCTACCCCTGGTTATCTCACATGAATCATAAACCTTAAAGTTGGCACCCAAAGTACATGTACCAGAGTCAGATTGTTCCCCTGTACTACTACTGAACCCTATTTCGTTCACGCCAGGCAGACCCTCAACCAAAACCGTACACCCTTCTAAGGTGCCAGTCGGTGCTCTTAAGTAACATGGTATGTTGCGCACCTCTCTTGGCAATATCATGGTTGGGTTTCTGCCTGTACGCGCAGCAACTGGTCCCTTGCCAGATGTCTCCTTGACTATATTTTCAGTTTTAGTTTGGTCCAATCCCCTTGAAAGCCCATACCATTGTAATGCCAATGACCATGCACTAGCATCTTCATGCTTAGGTTCTATAGTAAGATCTTTCAGTAAGTGCAGTACGTTGCATCCAAGCAACACTGGACAAGGTCTATGTTTTGGGTCAGCCTCCACAGAATCCTTCACTGCTAAAAAATGGCCTACAACTGTGTAGTTGTAAATACTCAAAGGAACTTTAACATACCCCTCAATTGGTGGTTCAATGCAACTTGCTCCGAATACCAGCAAATGCCTTCCTATCTGTTTCAACCCGACCATCTTTTTAGCTAGATTCTCCCTGTAGAAAGATGCAGAAATTTGAGATGCCTCTGCTCCGGTGTCAAGTACACATGTGGTTTTGACACCTGCCAAAGTCACACAAGCCTTTGGGCTTTCTCGTACCAACTTAGAGAGCACCTCATCAATGGAAGACTCTGACTGCATCCTTCCACATTGGGAATCTCCTTTTTGTGATGCCTTTTTGACCTTGTCCTCCACCACTCGGCCTACAGTGGAGCGTGGGGGTTTAGCCCCTCCCCTACTACTTTACCCTGCACATTACTACTTACATGTAGCTCTTGTTTGCGTGATGGCTGAGCTGTTGTCGCTACCTCCTTAGCTATTCTGCGCTTGCAATGAGCCTTGATATGCCGTGGTTGTTTACAGTAAAAACAAACCACAGGTGGTCTGTTCCCGGCAGTATCCGATACCCATGGAATTTTCGCATCTTGCCCTACATGTACACGTTTCAACAATGTATCCAACTTTTCCTGTTGCTTTAACAACATACCCTGTTGTGACTGGAGACATCGCAACAGCTGTTGTGCTAACACCTGCTGCAACTGGCCATTACCCCAACTAACTGAAAATTAATTGACCTTGACCCCCTGTGTACTATCTTCAGGTGATACACCTTCAGCTGACACCTGATACACTTGACCCTGTTTGGAGGTGACCCCCCTTCCATATCACAGAAAAGTTCCCATGCTGCATTGCGCATCTCACTGAAACTTTGGGAAGGATTGGCTAACTCAAGCCTGCGCAGCTCCAGCCTAACGGATTCAATTCTAGCACCAGCGACAAACTGGCTGATTAATACCCTGTCGCGACTTTAAGGATTCGGTCATGGAGTCGCATAAGCGATCTAGAAAAATCCATCGGTGACTCTTCCTCCCTTTGGATGTGCTCATACAGGGCTTTTTGAAGAAACTGAACAGTCTCGTCCGCACCAAAACTCCTCTTAAGCAGTTTCGTTAGGGAAGCAATATTGTTTTTAATTTAATCCCCATGGCACTTAATCTCCTCCCTTGCTCATCCTCCGGGATACTGCATTGCTGAATGTACACATCTACTTCATTTAACCATTCTATTATAGTGGGGTCCCCTGCCCTTGTTGGTTTACCCACAAACTTTGAAAGCTTGATTGGGCGCTGTGATATAGCCCGAGGCTTATCCTACTTTTGGGCATTTGTCAGCCCTGTCACCAACTTGGTTATAAAATCTATTTCTGAGTTAGCCATAATATTTGTTTAAGTGCCAAAAAAGCCTCAAGCACTCCCAATCAAACATTCATAATTTGGGACACACTGCTGCATGTGTACAGGTAAATGAGATAATGAGCAAACTACATGTATTAGGCAGCTGACATCAAACACACCTCGACAATATATAACAACTGGGTATTTTTTTCAATGCAAACCTTAATGAAATTGTAGCCTACTGTTCAAAATACAATTAAAAGTGGGAGTTCATTAGTCAGTCCTGCCTAAGTTACAATACCATGAGCTGTTTCACCAGTCGATCCAGGCCGAAAACTTGTCAATCCTCGATGTGCTGTCCTTGCATGAAGTCCATGTAGGCCTACACCAGTTCATCCACCACAGCGTTGAACCGTCACTCCATACAGGTGTAGCAGACTTGACTGTTGCCCTCTCGAGCTCCCCACACCACAGTAGGCCCAGACCAAGCGAGTTTCGAAGCTTCACGCCTCCGTTGTCCCCTGGCATCACAGCAGCATGCCTACACCCTAACAAAACTGGAACGAAAACATACACACAGACTCTTCTCATCTGATTTACTTGTTGAGCCGATTTATTCTGCTTTCACCTCCATTCAAAGTTCCACTGTCTACCGAAAATCATGCCTAAACTTGTGTCTCCACATATTATCATGCAACTCATTTTTCCTTTCACGTACTCTTTTCCCGCGCCTCAAATGTATACATTGTCATCATTTATTATCTTGCGTATGACCCTGGTGACCTCGGCGGGTCTGCCCAGATGCGGTTACTTTTAATAGGTCTTATCTGACGCCCTCTAATGATCGCAATAAGGAAAAATACATGGCCTGACAAAAACGATCATTTCACTACAATAATATCTTTCTCTTTGTTGCTAATGTTTTCTGCAAACTCAAGGGCCTTCAGGAGAAGCTTTTCTGTTATTGAGGGGTAGAACTCCACAATGTCGAAATTTTTGAAGCTCGATTCTTGCTTGTTTAGGATTTTCTTGTGCCAGTCCAGTATGGCCTCAGTGCTTTTCCACAGGTTGAATTCCGTCGCGTTTATGACTGTACCGACAATTCTGTGGAGGATCACCTTACTTATATGTCCTATCTCTGATTTTGTTGGGCTGATTAGTCGACGTGATGATTTGTTATTGAAGTTTTCCTTGTGGTCCTTCAAAGTAATGAAGACTTCCCTCTCGGCCAATTTATCTATGCGGTTGCCCAGTCAGACTTTTAGCCTATGTGGTCGCCCAGTGCAAGGCTTTTATAAGATATATGTATGACAGGAAGTAAAAGATTTATTACAGTGCTCGACGGAAAATTACTCCCGAGTTTTCGGTGCAGTCCACCTTCTTCAGGGGACTATGGCATGTTGTCTGGTAGAACAAACGCAGTTAAGTCCACGCTCATTCCGTCAGGTTGGAGCATACCAAGTTGGAACATCACATCAACTTCGCACGTGATTTCCCATCAAATCGGAGAAGATCACAAGTTTGTCCTGTAGTTCATTCAGTACTGAAATCTGTTACTTTTCTGTTCTAACCATTCTTGAATCAGTCAAATCAACTGGTCAAGCTGGCTAAGCTGCTGTGCTAATGTATAGGCCCTAGACCTGCAAACATTGTGTCAAAAACAAAGCCAGGTTCCAGATTTAAAAAAAAACCAACACTTGAACTGTTTACATCGCTTGAACTGTTTACAAAATGCCACATTGCTAAACTGTTGCACGAAATGCAAGGAATTTTACCAAAATACAGGATAAAAATCGCGTTTTAGATCTCACTTGTTTCATGAAATCTGTCCAGGAAGTGGTGAAAAAAAACTGAGTTCATTGCATTGGCATGTTCTCTGTCGTGAGGCTGTACTGTTTTGATCACAACTTCTGAACGAGGCTAAGATGGCCGCTGAAGTGTAATCTTATGTATTGGGAAAGCATTATTCCAACTTGGGCATGAGAAATTGGGTCAAGGATATTTCTGGTGCAGGAATGGGTATATTTTGAGCTTAAACAACATATTTCCCCAAAGGAAAAATATGGAGGATTTTTTTTCTGTTTGTTAATGGCAACCATTGAAAGGTTTTTGAGTAAAAAGGAATTGGCTTTTACTAAAATGTCAGGGTAGGGCACTTAAATTTCACTGCTTACTGGACTACATGTACAAGTGTACGTATACAAGACTTACCGGTAGACTGCAGGAATTTTGACTTCTTAAATCTAAAATGAAATAGCATTGTGTTTTATTTCAGATTACATGTGATAGAGTCCAACAACAAGCAGCTAAATCATGAAAAAAAGAACATTCTGGAAAAGCAAGGAAGTCATCTTCCAGATGCACAGCAGAAAGTGGTGACAGTGGAGGCAAATAAGACAGATACACCTAAAAGACTTCTGCCTGGTAACTGTTTAATTATCACAGTGCATTAATTAATTAACTACTTATTAGGCCAACCCTACCTACTCTATTTTCAAATGCAATGTAATCGGAAGCAGAAGTTGTTATTGCTTTCTTTGCCTTACTAGTAGGAGGGAATTTTTTACAACATAGATGAAATTTTTTCGATTTTAATCAGGATTCCGACTTTTAAAATTCTTTCCAAAGGTCATATTTTTCCGTGGAAGATCCAATTAAAAAAATTCAACAAATTTGATAAAAACAGCAGATACCGTTATGTACTACAAGCATATACCAGTCGTCAATACACAGTTTGTATGGTAGGAACACATAAGAAAGATCTTAGTATGGCACGGTAGGTTATGGCTTGAAATTAGTTTAAGCACTAACCCATAACGTATTTGAAATTATAGTTTCCCATGCTTCCACATATTGCATTATTTTCTGAGGTTTCAGAAGAAATGGACGATAACACCAAGTGTAGGTTAGATGACTGCCTTGCACCCCAGCCTATTTTCAAACATTTTTGCCTTGAAACTGCCAGTTTCATCTCTGGATTTAACAGTTGAAATTAAAAACTAGATTTATGTTCATGGACAAGCACATGGCTGTTTCAGCATTTTTGTATTGCATTTTATGTCATGTTCAAAACTGATAGGACATGTACATGAATAGGCTGAATTCTATTTCAGACATCAACAATGATGTTTGAAACCATCTCAATAATAAATTGATTCTCATCTTTTTCTCTGAAGATGCAATTATGATATTTTTTGTTTTTGCTTTCTCAACAGGATTAATGATTGGGGAATCGATTGATGTTGCACATCTGTACAAACTCAGTTCCAGCTTTGCCCAGCAATTTAAGGACCTTCATCAGTCTAAAAAGAATTGTTACGCAACAAGAGAACAAAAAGATAAATTGAAAATGCAGCTGTCTACTAAGACCAAAGCAAAAGATCATGTCACAGAGAAAAATTTGCAGCTGAAAGCAAGGTTTGTCATATATATTTGTGTCAACTAAACTGGTTTTTCAAGTTGTAAACAAACATTCGATGATGTCATCATATCTAAATGACCCCTCCCACCAAAATAACCGGAAAAAAACAGCTTTTTTTCCCCATAAAAATTCGTGAAAAAATTGAAACCACCCTCCCCCTGCTATTCTGTGATAAAGTGTTAATAATCGTCGAATTTGAACAGCGCCCCAATTAAAAGTATGGTTTGAACACCCTCCCCCCCCCCACCCACCACCCCCTCTTAGTGGGTTATGAATGGCATATTTTGTGGGCTTTTTTTGTGTTCTGTTTCATTTTTTTTTTCATATATATTACCTTTCTCTGCTTATGATGGAAAATAATATACACATCTGTACTATGGCAAATATTTGTAATGATCACAGCTTTTTATGCCCCACCAGCGAAGCTGCTGAAGGGGCGTACTGTGTTTGCCTTATACTTCCGTGTGTACATGAATTTGTTTATGCATTCAATAGGGGATGTTGAACAATATTATACAAATAATGAATGTTTGTGAGTGCAATGGTTAGAATGATTTCATGAGGTGACAGATGAAATGTTCCATTCCACGAGGCGAAGCCGAGTGGAATGGGACATTTCATCTGTCACCGAATGAAATTATTCTTTCCATTGCACGAACGTGAAACATTCATTACTTGTTTTATATAACACCTGAATAAATCCTCGTCATCTGATTGGTTGACTTTTAATAGCCAATTTATTCAAGTTAACAACTGTTTAAAAGTTCGACAAGTTCAGAGCTATCATATTCAATTTATGCAAACTGTTCAACAGGTTGAGAACTACCATATTCATTTCATCTTGATTTAAAACTGTTCCACAAGTGTAGAACTCAAACAGTTCAACAATTCAGAACTTTTATTACCAATTTATGCAAGGCAACTTAAAAGCTGTTCCACAAGTTCAGAACTTGAACAGTGCAACAAGTTCAGAACTTTTATATCCAATTTATGCAAGTTAAAAGATGTTCCGCAGCGCCACCACTGGCAGCAGTCAAACCGTGCAATGGAGCTCATCAATACTGAGTATTGGCAATACTATGTGATGATATCTGAGGAAAAGGAAATGCGCGCAACTTTAGGGTATAATGGTAGCCATTTTTTATCTTTATTATGTCCTGATAATCTTCAAGTCTCCGATATTCTTTAGAAAATGTTACTTAAGAATAAGGGTATGTATGTAAAATCCCCAAAATATACTTTTCAAAAAATGAAAAATATATATCTACCCAAAGATGGGAACAAATATATTACACAGCATGAAAAATAAACATCTACCCAAAGATGGGAACAAATATATTACATGGCAGGGATTAACGCTTTATGCAAATTAGGCACCCTTCCCAAAACAATTTCAGGTGTCACACCTTCTAAATATTCCCTTTAGGGCTATAAGAATCTATCTGGCAAGTTTGGTGCTTTGGACCGATTCCGACCGTATGCCACCTGACTACATCAGGGTTCTCCCCACGTACAAACGTGCGTATTGGCCCGATACGCTGGACTTGCGGCCCGATACGCCGACAAAAATGCCGATCACATTTTTCAGCCCCCGATACGCACAATATAATTATTATACAAGCCATTAAAATGCACAACATAATCGTTTCATACGCCATTTTTTCATCTTGACATGCAAAATCTGGACAAAAATCCCGTATTTCTGATGCATGTGTGATCAAAATGCACACGATGACGGGTTGTTCGCGTCTACCGCCAGGACCCAGCTATATATTAGCGCATACAGCATGGTACACTGGTTCCCATCGCGTGCAACAGTATCAATGCTAAGATGAAGGACTGGAACCAGCGACTACTGCCTCGTGCGTGCATGCACATGTACATGATGATGATGTTGGCTGAAGTTGGATCCTAAAAACACCAAACAAACATCGATGGAGAAAGAGAATTTCTGCAAATTAATTCACAGAACGTGATCTTATTTTTATGTGCATGCATTTTCCATTAAAATGACGAGATTGCAAAGCTCGAACTTGTGGCGAAACATCGTAGCGTGCTTCTTAGAAGCAGTAGTGCAAAATTTTCGGCCACGTGGGATGGGCCGTACACAGTGCAGTAATGCACACTGATAACTGCGCCGTGTGCAAGGCGCGATGTACGGCCGGCCAGACTGAATGTTGATGGCGCGAGGGGCCGTGATGTACATGTACGTTAAGCATATAGTGGAATCAACCACCTCAAATATATTTTTAATTAGGTGAGGCAAGTTTTAATCACTTTTGATGGTCAGTCTTGATAATTTTCGTGGTACAAAGGAAAATAATCCAGGCACAAAACTACATGATTCCTTGTTCAATATGCTCCATTCCATCATGTGTTTTTATTTCTCCATGATTCAATCAGCAGCCCAAAAAATTGGCGAAATAATTTTTTTGACCTACCACGCCGTGGCTTCACAGGTTGGTGAATCACAACAAAACTTCCCCCACAGTTTTGAAAAAATCCAGGGGAGAACCCTGTACATGACTAACTCGTTGGACGTACACGTGCACGTGCGTGACGCAGACATTTTCCATGCACTAAACTTCAGCTAGGAAACTGCGTCGCATGATTATGTTAAGGAAACATGCACACACTGATTGAACTGCTGCTGCATAGCAACGTTTATGTCTTAAATGTTTTGCGCATGAGCAAGAGTGATTGCTTTGAACACTTAAGTTAAGTTGAGCACTAAGATAAGTGGGGTGCTTAGATCTTTCGTGAATATCCCAATTAAGCTTAAAGAGAATATACAACATTTGCAAACATCGAAAAACAAAACTACCACATTTTTATGAAATACCTTACTAGGATGTTGGTAAATGGCAGTCCAAAGCATCCTGTAAAATTATGGCACCTGGTGTGAAGTCATTTTTAAGAAAAGTGGTAAATTGTACAAATTTCCAACGGTGGTCAGCCGACCACCGTTGGAAAAACCCAACAATTTTTCAACAACTGCTCCAAATTTACCAATTTTTTAGTCCAAGTTTTGTTTACTATTGGTTAAATGTTCATGAACGGGTGCAGGCCAGCTACACTGGTTCCCTTACCTTACAATTTTCCGGCATCTATAAATTGATCCATTTCATCTTTAGTGGAGTCAGGGAACCAGACTACTTGAAGGATTTTTGTTTTCTTGGTGATTCCAGTATTTTCGAACACAAAACTTCAAACATGTCAGTGTAACAATATTTTATCTCTTATATTAATCCCTCAAATAGTTCATTTCTGAAAATTACAGCAAAAGCCAATGATGTACATTCCCTTTAAGTTAGCAGGGTGCTTAGATTTGTGACTTAAATTTGAGTTTTGTGAATATGGCCCCTGCCAAACGTTTTACAGGTGGCTGCTTGGAAAATGCCATCAACCTGTGTCTGTTGCTACCTGAAGGACATTTTATGTTCAGAAGGCTAAACGGGACAAGTAGCCCTCTCGGCTGCCATGGCATCTCATCCCAACTAACTGTCAGGACAGATTAACTGCCTCTAGCATCTAGTCGACTGGCACTCCATTTCCACATACTTTGGCAATGTCTACCTTTCAATTTTGGTGAAGACATGAGGGGACATTCCAATCTAATCCAGACAGTGCTAATAATAGTAATACTTAAGGCTACCTTTTCTTAGCCCTCCTGCTACAGCGGGTGCTTATCTATGCAAATGTAAGGTTTAACAGGTAAGAAAGTTCCAGAAGTGGACTCCCCCCAAATCAAAGGTGATTTGTGAGTACTTGCCTAGGGATAAAGAGGATGAGAGTACTAGACTGATGCGGGTACTGAGGGCACTATTTACTGTGGTTTAAAAAGCTAGCGATTGGGAACCTTAGGCTAGAGAAATATGCACTTGTAAAGTTTAGCAGGTAAGTATTGTCCCGTCATGGACTCACAAATCACCTTTGATTTGGGGGATTCATTTTGGCCCAGATAGCTCCAAGGAAACCTTATGTTCAAAGGGTGTTGTCCTCTTATGCGAACAGTCACTGTGACGGGGCATTTGTGTTTGTATAACACAACTTTTCCTGTTCTTTCTGAAGGTGCCGAAAATTACGCATTGCATATGATGCTCTCCGAGTGTTCGAAAAGGATCCTCTCTTAGGACCAACACAAGCAGAGGCAGTAATTCGTGCACTTACTCGTTCAAACTCAATGATGAGCTCCAGAAGTGAGTATAAGATTATTAAAAAGAGTTTTGCTCAAGAATTGGAAAGTCTTCTATTTTTATTTAATCATAAAATAACTACAGTGTATGTCAAGCTACATGTAGGAAACCTAGTCGTTATTATACCGTAACATCTATTAGGGCCTACTTATACCTCATACATATTCATAATGGAGAGCCAAATTTTTACTGGTCTATGTCAGCTGCTAGTTTTTTTTTTTACCGACCATGCCTTTGAGGATTCATAGGCACAGGGTAAATTAGCTTGTGTAGTAGATTACTTTACTATACCTCATACATATTCATGATCGAGAGCCGAAGTCTTATTGGTCAATTCGCCATCATGTGCCAGGTATTATTCTTGCTGTTCACCAAATGCGCGTGCAAGGATTCACGTAGTAGACTGCCCGTGCGACAGTCTACTACGCATCGCCCAAGAGAGATGCATGATTTCACAGTTCGTGTAATTTTTCCCGAACTCAATGATGCCGTACTGGAGAAATTTATGGACAATAACATTGACTCCTGTACAAAAGAAAGTTGAACTCAAACAACTGTGTCTACTACACTCTACTTACCTGTAGAGCAATACTACTTATGCATATTCCCCCTACCGGCAGGTATTTTCCGCTAAGAGTTATATACAATAGCGCCCTCCGGCGCCCTACCCATAATACCCCGCGGCATGCGTGCCTCGTGAGCGTCCTCTTTTCTCTTAGCGGCAGGTCGGGTAGGACGTGTGTAAAATAGCTCGCTGTTTTCCTCGTCATTTACTACCCTTTTTTGCGCTTAAGAGAAGTTTATAATAAAAGAGTTAATAAAACAACAGTTTGTAGAGTTTCTCATCATCTTCTTGGTTGTATTTATTTGATTATTTTGCAGCGTTTGGGGAGAACCGATCTGTCACAAACCGGGGGGAATTCCTCTCCCACGGGACGGACCGAGTTCTCGGGGGACTCTGCCGTTAACGCTACGACATTACCGCGGCAGCAGTCTCTCGTCCGGCACCCTCAGCCACAGTCGGCTGGGGGAGTTGGCAGTTCCGCCGATCAGTTAAGGGGACCTCGGTCACCTTCTCCGGTCAACTCAGGCAGAACACCCAAACTAAAGGCACACTCCGGCAAGGTTCCTCCAAAACATATCTCCTGTGCCGGAGCAAAGCCTAAGAAGGGCCGTCAGGGCAAGCGTGGCTCGGCAACGAGCACCGCTGTGTCACCTGGCCCTCCCCCGATCACGGGGCAGCCCGAGGGGACTAGCCGTCACACTTCGGTGGGCTCTAGTCACCCGTGTCCTCCCGACACAGTGCCGAACACCACTGGTTGTCGGGATGGGCTATTAAACAGGCTACCGGTCCGTCCAGCGCTCACTCAGCCCACGGGGCCTGAGGCGCTGTCGGCCGGGTACATTATGAGCGATGCGGAGCCGGTCGACCGGGGGGATCCCGGACCGATGGCCCCGTGCTATCTCGCTCAGAGGAACGACTCTCATAATCGGATTTTTTCCGTTGTTCGGGGGTCCCGGTGCCCCAGGTGTCTTCTGACTTGTAGTCAAACACATCCTGGGGCCGTTCTTCAAAGAGGAATAGCAAGAAGAAGAAAACTGATCGCCGATTACGCCGTTCTTCTTCAGATTCTGAAGGTTCCTCTGACCGGTCCCACCGGGGCAAACGCTCCTGACGTGAGGACTCGATCTCGAGGTCTGTTTTCCTACAGTCATTTCAGTCGATTTTACTTACACTATCGGCTATGTCTGCAGGACGCCAGACGGGCCCTAATGGTGGCCCCCCTGGAGTGGCGAGCCACGCCCCACAACCCTCGGTTGTTGGTCTAGCCTTACAGTCTCCGTGAACAAAGGGACATACCGCACACAGTTAGCCTTGCTCCTGGAGTCTTTATCTGCAGTGAATGCTTCATAGTCGTCACTCATTGGTCACGATTGCGTGGCCAAGCACAATGAGGTACATGTACATGTACAAAAATGAAAAAACACATGTTCATACATGTACACGTTCATGTATACCACACATGGTTGCGCGCTATACCGGAAGCCCGGCCTACGGCGAACGGGACTTCACCATCTGCATAGTATTATGCACGATGTATGTCTATTATCTCCGAGGGTGTTGCCCAGCCACCACCGCGTGGTTCTGTACAACTAGCCCCTCCAGACGGCTCTCAGTCATCGGGGTCATTTTGGCCTTCGCATTCGGCTGATTCATCCGATGATGACGAAGAATCAGACCGGTTACAATGGCTGTACATCGCGGAAACGAAATTCCGTTTGCTGCAGAGGGACATTACACGGGTACTTAAATTACCCTCCGCCGATGAGCCCCCTCCGCCCGATAATTTTTTTTTTCAAATCAAGCGCAGGACGGGCTCCACATCTAACAATGACCTCTGTTGGATCAAATGTGAAACACATCGACAACGGACAAAGTGGTGTCCATTTCCCAGGCGGGAACAGCTTCATTATTTTTTTCTAATCCGGGCGAGTTTATTGCACCGATCCCACCGCAGCATACGCTACCGGGATGAGGACTCGGTTTTTCGGCCCACTCATTACAAGCCTTGCAATTGTTCTCAGCTTTATTATCGGTCATATACGTTTTATACATGTACATGTATTGTCAGGCGTGCACGTTAATGAAACGTCCGTCTTAGTTCAGTTGCGAGCCGTGAACTCTGTAGCCCTCTACATTAATCAGGGTTGGGTGACTCAAGGACAATGGGACACGCCGCGCAGTGCTTAGCCGTGTGGCGGTGTTTCTTGCTGTACTGAGATCGCTACATTTTTCATGTACATTGTACATGTGTGCATTACTTGTGTATGTACACTGTCCATTGTCTCCGAGGGAGTTGTTCGACAACTGACTGTGGCCGTGTGCAACTCGTCCCTCCAGATATGTTTTACGGTTCTCGTTTACGGGGTCTATTCGACTCTTGCAGGCATGTTGTGGACCACATTCGAAAGATTGTGCCTGTGTTCAAACTGCCTGCTGCTCTTCAAGCAATAATGTGATCATTACCGTTTTCCGTTAGCGAAATTCTGTATTTTTTTGTCACATCTTCCCTCTTCAATGCAGCTAAGCACAAGCTGTCAGCAGTAGAGGGACCCCATTATTCAAGCGGCTCTTCGTAAATAATACTCGCAGAAGCTTGAATACACTTTGCAGTAGAATTAAAGTGGGCTCGGCGATACGCGTTCAGCCTCCCTCTTTACCCTCATGAAGTACATTAGGTTTAATGTTTTAATCTTGACTCGACAGTCTTAGCGGACGTGTTGACCGCTATTTTCTTTATCAATTTCACGGTCTGCACTCGGTACTCTATAATTTTACTCGAGTGCAGACCCTAGCAATCTTGGCCCGCCGGGGTAACATGATTGATGAACTGTTTCTCCCGTCAAAGGGCGCCCGCCAAAGATTCGAGTCCCACCTTTTAAGTTTTTAACGGACAAAGATCTTTTCTTTTGCTGTGGATATCGATGTTTACATCCATATTGGTCGATGTCAACTACATGTGGGCCAGCGCAGGTGAAGAACAAACAGTTGTTTGTTTTCTCAACTGCATACCTCTTGAAGTTTGCCCAGATGATTTTGTGTGGCTATGCTAGCAACATTTTCTGTACGCCATGCCACATAGGATAATGTAACAGCGATTTCGATTCGGCTTCAGTTGTTTTGATGATTTCCATAAGTGACCTACCTGACTCATGACGACCTCCACCCATCTGTCTCGTAGGAGCTCGTCAGAGAGACTTTGAGGCTGACATCAATACCATCGGGCCAGCACAGTGTTGCGCCCGTCTTGTATTTCCCTTGGAAAGATGTTGATAAGATTTAGTCGACTGTCTAACACATCAGCATAGCAAATGAGCCCTGGCCTGAAGGGTACACAACTGCAACTCATTTTCAGGCCAGAGCACTGAAAATTTCGCGGTTTTCAAACCAAGATTCTCGCTGCAACTTCATGGGGTCTCCATCCAGCCTTTTTTCCGCCTCACTCCTGGCCTCTGCTCAGATAGTAAAGGCGATATGACTGCGCCGTGGAAACAAAGATTGGTGGCATTCACCTATTTGCTTGTATCGGCCCAGTCCTCACTGCATTCAGTGCAGGCCATGACCTGACTTGTGCAGTACCTCCTGTGGTTCGGCGTTGCCAACCTCACAAGGGTGGGCCTCTCACAGATTGCAGCCTAATTCATTAACTGTCATGGCGGACATGTTACCCTGCCAGTTAACTTCCCACCACACGCATCTAGTGGCGGATTGGTGAGGCCCTGTGTGAGCATCATTCAAGTTCCATTAACATACTTGAGATGCTGGCAGTCTCGGAGAAACTGCGATATTACTTCTATATTCGGTGTTGTGCCAGATGATCCTGGTTAAATGTGACTTTGACACAGTTGTAGTTTACATCGACGACCAGGTGGGCAGGCAGCCTGCACACCTGTGTACACTCACTTGAGAAATACCCCATTGGGGTTTTTTCCTCATAGCTTCTTGCTTTCAACGGTCCTCCTCCCAAGCAAGGACAACTAACCACATGTCAATCTGACTTGTTTCATGAACTAGTCACAGATTTCCAGGCTAATGAATGAGGATTCCTGACCCCTACACATGGCACACGAATACGATGGTGAGGAAGGCGGACAGGCTACTTATATACACCTTCCTGTCGTCTTCCTCTTATCCCTCGGGTACTTAATCAACTGGAGCAGAAGGACGACGAGGTCCTCTTCTTAACTCCATGTTGACCCCATTGATTGGTTTTCCAGGGCTATAACCATTCCCTTGGTTCACCAGTTGAAGGTACAAATGTTCTTCCAAGCAGAACAATATTCTGTTCCAGCACAGCTTGGGTTTCCTTCACCCAGCTCCGCAGGAATTTCTCCTGATGTACTGGATGCTGTAATGCTCCGGACATCTTTGTTCTAGGCATCAAATCATTGTACATTCCAGATGAAAAATGTTGGTGCCGCTCATGACTTTGGCGTCTGAT